TTTAGCACACGATTTTATGTTGAAGATGACTGACGTTTTCAAAAAGAAATTAAAACGTGAAAAAAGGACATTGACAAAACTTTCAAAGAAGTTTGAATACACGTAATCATAGGAGAAATTGCTGATAAGGGATGGGTACCCCAATATTATAGAAAGAATGGCGGTGTACATGCTTTTCTATGAGAAACCCCAAATATGTGTTTGATCGACGAATAAATAAAATAGGAGACACATAATGCAATTATGTAATAATTTTTTTAGAGTTTCATTAAACTACATGCAGTGCAAGTGGTTTAAGAGGAGTTATGGAAAAGGGATGGATTCCCCATCACTATATATATACCCTTTTATACAGGTGTAATACACAGGTAATCTAGCATGTTCGAATGCTTTCGGAGTTTTGATCATTACATTGTTGCTTACAAAAATCAAATGACCTACAGATTAAATATACCATATTGGATAAAAATTGGGTGACCGGTTATTATAATGCAAAAATCTCGGAGTGGGAAATGGTGATAATACGATTTACATATTTAATTAGATATGAAGAAAAAGTAACTGTATCAACGTTACAAACTGTCAATTATAAATACAACTTACAAAGATTTGAATCTGAATATGATTTTCGTTGAAAACGAGGTATGACTCATCAGCGAACGATTGATTACTTGTACGTATCTTTCTCTCAACTGTGAGTTTCCGACGATGGGTATGAATGTTTGTACATGTACCAATGTACATAAGGTTTCTAGTGGTCCCTCGGACTTAAAGAAAAAAAAATCAGAAAAAAAGGTAACGAAAGTTTTCGGAAAAGGGACTGATTAATTTCAGTAAAGAAAATAATTTTTCGGAAATAAAATGCAATTAAATATATCCTAAGGAATCAAATTAATCTAAACAATAAAATGCTTTACTTGATTGTTAGTACGGGAATTAATGTCGCAGCTGTTGCAGAAAAAATACATAACCCTCGTAAGAAAGTAATAATTTCTCTGAAGTCATGCATTGCTTTGTAACCTCTCCTATAAATCTCCCATTGGATTGCTTGCATCCAGTAAAGTCTGGTAAGATTTTTTTGAACAGCTACATATAACATTGGAACAAAAACAGAACAAATAAAAAAAAAATGAATGCAGATGTTATGTCACTTTCTTGCCGTCATGAAATGTTCGCCTCATTTTAAAGGGAAAAAGTCACGTTTTGTCCGCCATCACAAAATATCCAACTGTTTTGGAAAAATTCGTCAGGTTATGTCTTTATTCTAAATTTTCTGTCACTATATCGGAAATATGACGTTTTGTCCGCCTTTACAAAATGTCCGCCTCAGATAGAAAAAAAATATTAAATTTCGTCTCCATATATTTACCCATTCAACATGATATCATAACGTCTGCACACATTTGTTTTGATAAACTTAATTTTCTTTGTTTTTCACTTAAAAATGCAAAAGCTCTTACATCTGACCACTGATAAGTGGTATGTGACCCAATTTTGCTAATCTAATTCGAATTAGCTTCGCTTAGCGTTCAGACGGAGTTATTGCAAAGTAATTTAATGTGCAGTAAATTAATTCGAATAAAACTTATTCGCAATAAATTCACCATGTGAACGCAGTTCAAGTTTAATTCGCAGTAACATTATATTCACCTGGAATTAAGCCTCCTCGTGAACAGGGAATAAATTGCCTTCGATCTAGCGACAGCTAATGCGAACTAAACTAATGCACATTTAAATTTTAATTCTATGCCCCGTTCACACGGAGAGTTTAATTCGTAGTAAATTAATGCGAAGTAAAATGATGCGAATTAAACTAATGCGAATGAAATATGCGTTCACACGACAACTAATGCGAAGTAAACTAATGCGAATTATAATTTTATTTCTACAACAAGGTTATTCAGTGAGGCTATAATGACGTCATTTACAAATCACGTCATATTGTGCAGATCAGATACACATTTGACAAAATGTCATAGTGTCTGTGCACATTTTAGTGATTAACATAATTTTCCTTTGTTTCCCAATCAAAAATAGCACAAGTACGTATATTTGACCATCGACATGTGGTCTGTGACAAACTTCTGCCCTTACTCATGCGTCAAAATTTAATTCGAATTAGCTTCGCTTAGCGTTCACACGGAGCTAATGCAAAGTAATTTAATGCGCAGTAAACTAATTCGAATTAAAATAATTCGCATTAAATTCTCCGTGTGAACGCGGATCAAATTTATGCCCTGTTCACACGGAGAGTTTAATTCGAATTAAACGTAAGTTACTGCGAATTAAATTTATTCCGCGTTCACACGGAGAATTTAATGCGAATTAGTTTACTTCGCATTAAATTACTTCGCATTAGCTCCGTGTGAATGCTAAGCGAAGCTAATTCGAATTAAGTTTTGACGCATGCTTAAGGGCAAATTTAAGTCACATGCCACATGTCGGTGGTCAAATACAGGTATTTGTGCTATTTTTGAGAGGAAAACAAAGGAAAACTATGTTAATCACTTAAAACTGTACAGACTCTATGAAATTATGTCAAATGCACAATGTGACGTGATGTGCAAATGACGTCATAATAGCCTTACTGAATAGCCATATATAGTAGAAATAAATTTTTAATTCGCATTAGTTTACTTCGTATTAGTTGTCGTGTGAACGCAATTTAATTCGCATTATTTTAATTCGTATTATTTTACTTCGCATTAATTTACTGCGAATTAAACTCTCTGTGTGAAGAGGGCATTAATTCGCAGTAACTAAGGTTACAGCTGCTCAAGTGGAACAACTCTCTTGAAGGCATTATTGCTTTATGGTATTCCTTTGTTTCTTGCTTCTCATAACAAATATCATCAAACTGTTGAGATAAGAATTTCCAAAAGTCATGCATCCACTCTTTCTTCGATAACAGCTCTGATGAATGAAAACATTGTTTAGGAATGTTTTTACACATATTTCTTCCCATATTTTTAATAAAATGTTCAGAAAAATTTTCAATATTCAACTCTTCCACAAAATCTGAGAACAACGTTTTATGCTTCCTGAGAATGTAGAGTTCTCTTTTGTGAGCAATCTGGCTTGCTGACTTTGGTAGCAAATCCGGAAATGATGTGAGCAAAACTTTTCGATCTGTTGAAAAATCTCTTATGTACTCATCTGACGTCAAAAGTAGAGGTGCATTTTTTATATATGTTATGGACAAAGGCTTGCTATTCACACAGTATTCCAGAACAGACCGAACCGTCTCGCAATCTTTAAACCCTGTTTGTGCAACTGGAACATCTGTATTAATGAGATTGCTTATATATGCATTGTGGTCTTTGTACGTTTTCAGAAACTGGATAACAGATATTGCAGAGAAGAAATTTACATTTAATCGAGTATGTTCTACACTGTCAAAGATCCAATATGGGGGTTGCGATATCTGCATTCCCAAAGTTTTCATTAATTCTGGTATTTCGTCTTGTTGGACAGAAAATTTGGCAGAAGATGAATGACATAATATTACTCTTCGCATTGATTCCCAAGATACTCTTACAAGTTTTTTTTCCGATTTGTTTGCAGAATTGGAAGCTTTCATATTTTCATTCTTTTCAAAAGAGGCAGTGTCATCATATTTTGTGGGTATGATAATTTCGGACTCATATTTTCTGAAAACTGGTAGAACGTTGCAAATATTTTCGAATAAATAATTATAAATCTCTGTTGTAATGAATCTAAAAATGCTACTGCCTGCCTGAAAATATTTAAAAAAAAATAAAATGGAGTTTACCTTCCAAATACATTTTTTATAACTTTAATTGTACTATTTTAATCCTAATATAATTATTTTTCATTCTAAATCCTCATTATTACCTGTATTTAAGGTCTAGAAAAATCAATTTTCTGTAATATGTTAGATGGAATGTGAGAGATTACAGCTGATCTCACTGGACAACCTGTTTCAAGTCCCACCCATACACACCCTCCACCAAGCCTTCACAAAATGAAGAGTTGGTGAATGGGATAGTCAATCCTTGTTAATTACACATTTTACAAAATAAAAGATTTTTAATTCTTAACTCTCTGAAATAAAAAAAAAAAATACTGAACATTCCAGAGGGCACAGAGATTAAATCATATATTCGGTATTTTTTTTTTTTCATATCAATTCTAACAGATATGAAGGAGTTGATCCTTATGTCGCGGGTTCGAATCCCATTGTGGGACGTGGAGACTGTATAAACCGAGGTCCCGTGTCGCAGTAGGTGCTGGCACGAAAAAAATTCCTTAACTGCTCAATGGCTCTAAGTACCGAGTATAGGTCAAAATTTGCAGCTCTCCACCGGCAAGTGGTGGCGTCTCCATATGAGTGAAAAATTCTCGAGAGGGACGTTAAACTATAAACAAACAAAAAATCTAATAGATATGATATAGTCATATTTTCATTACTGTTGATTTTTCGATTGCATATTGCAATTCGTTTGTGTTGTTAAATAATTAAAACTGTTATTTTTGTGTTATTTACGTTTTTCAACATCATATAAATCGTGTTCCGAAACGATCCCTTAATATTTCAAGACCATGACGTCAAATGACCCAGAAAAGGAAATGAAAAAGATTCATAAGTGGGGGAACTAAGCTTTGTTGAAATATATATTGTTCCCGTTTCTCTATTTTGAATACAAAAAGACTCTTGGACTTCCAATACATATATTGCATTAAATATAAATCGAACCTCTTTGGAAAATATCAACGAAACAGTCTGACGTGACCCGTAATTGGCAGCTTCACTGTAGTACACAAAGTACACATATTAATCTTGTAGCGAGCCTCTTGACTCGTTCTCAGAAAAAATAACTTTCACCATGTTCACTTCTAAAAATATTACTATATAATGGTGCCTATTTCTGCAAACCTGCAGGGTGATAAACGGGTTCTGTAAATGTGGAACGAAAAAACACCTATAAACAAAACATTATAAACCATCACGGCATTTAAGACGCTCAACTTGTACTTACAACTGATGTCCCGAGATCAAAAAGTGAAGATGAAATACAATCCTTCGCTACTTCAGTAAAAAAAATTACGTCACAGGAACGTATCAACCAGCTTTAAACTGTTCAAGCACCCTCTATCATCAGTTTATTCCCGTAATGTGCGAGTACATTTTCAAGCTTTCTAGAAAAATCGTTACGCTTCATGCATTTTTCAATCGGTTGGGGCATGCGTCTGAGAGAGGAACTAACCAACTCTGCATGGGAGGTTGCTGTTCAAGTCAAACCAGAGTGGTAAATGGGTGCGTTGTAAGATATATATTGTATATGTATTGTATGTTTCTTATCTTTGTATTTTTTTTAATACAAACAATAAAAATTATTATTTTCGATTGATTTTCTCGCAACTTCATTTAATATTGTATCATAGATTGACCTGAACCACGCGTAAGTAAAATGTAAACATGTGGTTGACCAACATACTTGCAATTCATTCAATGATTGGACAATGGTTCGTGGTAAGATCCGCTGTAAGCAATAAAAATTATAACAATAGCCATCGAGGGGTGATCAAAAAGTTCGCGAACTAATTGAATTACTTCTTCTATAAAAGACATAAAATTAGGTTTCAGTGTTTATTATTTTTACAGCAGCTCTCTCCTATTTTAATGCACATCTGCCACTTTTCTGCTCATGTGATCCAGACTGTCTCATGTGATCCACACTGTCACGTTACATGCTCTGTTGCGTTCTGCTCACAGAAGCTAAATTATTTTTCCAAGTCATATATTTCTTATCATGCAAGTTATTTTTATAACAAGAATAGTCCATTTCTCACAAATGGTCGAATCTCGGCAATAGAATGGGTGGATAAGGATATCTTTCCCAAGAATGAGCATGGTGACCATCACAACCCGACTCCTCTGTCTTAATTGGGTGCGTCGTTTGTCCATTGTGGATAACGTATGGACACCTTTTTAACATTATTTTTAAACATCTCCCTTCCTTTACTAAAACAATCATTCCAATTAATTTTTAAACTTCTAGCAAGTCTTCATAAACCTTGCACAAATTAATATATATGCTACTTCAAAGGAATTTCCAAGATATACTTTACCGTTGGTAGAGTACGAATGATTCAACCATTTATCTACATACTGACATCTTTTTCAAATTGTGACGTCACAAACATGGAGTAAAACATTACTTAACATCTGCTATTTGTAGAACATGTTTATGACTATATGTGTGCCAAATTTCATTTTGATCTTAATTATGGTTTTGTAAATATAGAGATAGTTTGCGAACTTTTTTATCACCCCTCGTATAAGGTAAACAAAGGTTTTTCATTGTAGTAGCTATTACATATTTTTTCTGCCAGGTTATTGGCGACTTTGGAAAATCGGTAGGTACTAAGCACCAATCTTCGCCGTAAAAATCGGGCATGCACATTATAATACCAGAGGAGTTCGCAGTAGCTCTGACAAGATTTCGTGAGACTGCGGAGAGACTGTTAACGGATAAGCTGAATTATTCACGGAAGTGTAGAGCTCTAGGAAGTGACTATCACATGCATGGAGTCATGGTAAACAAAAAAGTTATGTTACGTTTCAATTTCCACCACTGCTTAATTAAAGTGCAAATGCACTTTATTCTCTTTAGAACTACTGCGAACTCCTCTGGTATTATAATTTGCAGAACACCAAACAATTAAAGGTTGTGAGCACGTAAGGAGGGATGTATTCTATAATCAAGAGCATGCTCCGAGTACGATCGGTTTTAAGACCGGGGCGGGCTGCTGACAGGTGAATTTATGTTCACGGTTATCAACAACCTCATTTAAAGAAGGCATTTCGTAAATTCTGTGGTCATTGTGGTGACCTTGTTGGCGGATATAACCCCTCGATGGATTTGTTGGGTCGTATTTTGGCTGGCATCTTTCGTTCCAATTGGTAGGGCTTTGGTTTTATGCTGAATTTGATTACGGAATGTACCGTCTACCTGTTCAATACATAAGCCTCATTGCGGATGTGACTGGTCAACAGGGGATGCTTACCCCTCCAAGGCACCTGATCTTACCTCTGCAATTTCCAGGGGTTCGTGAATTATGCCCTGTATTTTTTGAGATCGATCACTGTTTGTTATCTTCACCTTTTTCATTTTCATAAACACGTCATAATCTACAATCACAAAAATGGCATTGGAAGTTCAGAATTTCAAGAAAAGATCAGTAGCTGGACATAAAAAATCACACGAATGGAGTATCAACTGGTGACAAATTAACGATGAATCAACTACGGAGAGGGTTCTAGTGTATATACTGAGCTGTATTGTGTGTAATTTTACTAATAATTTGAGAACATTGAATAATCTGAGTATAGGGCCTAATGATTGTACTTGTCAAATGTGCTGATGAAATTTTGGAAAAGACAATACATTAGATTCATACTTTCATCTGTACGCATGATATGTAAATAAATGCTAATTTAATATTTTATTTGAAAGGGGGGGGGCAATTTATTTCTCTTTATTTCTTTGGGAGACAATGGCTAGTTTTGGCTTAGTTGTTGGTTTTTCAATTAGTCTGTCTGAGTGCTTGTCTGTCACAAAATTGCTCTTGGGTCATAACTCTCAAATCCGTGATTTAAGTGAAGTCAAACTTAGAATAATTATGTTGACTATGACACATAGTTGTGTATTAACACCGAATCAACATTATGTCTCAAAGATAAAGGTCTTGGCTCTTGATTGAAATAACTTCAAACATGAGTATATGATTATCGATTAACTATCAATGTGTTATGACTTACTCAAGGTCCAAATAATAATAATAATAATAATAATATAATCCTATAGGAATAATTCTCAAATTCCTATGGGAATTTTTATCCTATAGGAAATTATTTTCCAAAGGGAGAAAAAAATTCCCTTATGAGAAATTCCCTTATGAGAATTTTTCTCCTGTAGTATATTTTTTTCTTCTATAGGATTTGTCATTCTCCAATAGTAAAGTAGATTCCCCTAGGAAATTAAATTCTCCCTTGGTAAATTTAATTCCTGCAGGAATTCTCAACTATCCTGTAGGGAATGATGGAACTCTGAAAGATTTGGATAATATCCCTCAGGATTTTTAATTTTCCTACAGGAACTTTAAATTTCCAATGGGATTTTTTTTTATCAAAGGTGATTATCTCACCTGACAGGTGAGATTTACCTAAATTAAAGGTTTATGAGTGATGGTCAACCACATTATATATATATATATATGTTTTTTTTATGTAAAATAAGAGTTTGGCAGGCGCTGGTTTGCCACTTTGGAAGTGGCAGATTTATCTTTTATATTTATATTTATGTAAATATAAAGATGCCTTTAAGTTAAGTGTAAATTATTGGTGTTAACCTCACACAGACTTGCACGAACATTATGTAGGCATATTATCTTTCCATGGAGCGCTAGCTAGCGCGCTTCATGAAATATGCCTAAGTGACAAGTTTGTGTGATTTACAAACCAGTAACTCACGTAAAACTTATAACATTCCTTAAATAAACGTAATATATGAATTACATTGTAACTTTCTTTACCCAAGAATTTAAGACAATTTAAATATCTAACTTGTAATTTCATGTATTTTGCGTTATATTAGCAAAACATAATTTCTTCGTCGTTGAATAACGTTTTATTTTTAAAATACTCAGAATACATGTTTTTATTAATTTTACGGTTATTCTCCGGCCACGTTGATATGGTTATTCTCCGGTCACGTTGATACGGTTATTCTCCGACAACATATATGGATAGGTTATTCTCCACGTGATTAATGCACAACAGGAAGCCGGTTGATATAAACAGTACACAGTAAAGAGTAGAAAAGACAGTATGTATCAAGACATATTTCTTTTTTGAATAGTTAAAAAGAATCGCTTTGTTACAAGCAATCTTTTTTATATTTTGCTGTATACATGTACATGCATGTGCTACTTTTACAAAAACGTTCATGGAAACATGTCACTATTGTGTAAAAATTTGACCCCCGGGGACCATGAAATTTATACTATATAAAGAAGCATATACATAAGTTTCGTCTTTTCTGGAGCAGTGATATTTGAGAAGAAAATTTTTAAATGAAGCAACAAATTTTTCAGAATTTCTTAATTATCTCCCCTTGGAAGTGGAAGTGCATGAGCAAATCTGAATCCTCTTCACCCAAGAATGTTTTGTGAGTTGAAATTGGCCCAGTGCTTCTAGCTATAGAAAGTTGAAAATTGTGAAAAAATTACAACAAGCACGACAGGCGATAGAGACGGGCGCCAGATACCGACACTCTTCGATCAGAAAAGCTCTTCTGAACCTTTAGCTCAGGTGAGCTAGCAACAAACATTTAATTTGTTGGCTTTCCTCCTTATTGTGTTGTGCACGACTGAAACTCGTGCGCACCGATTGCACATTAATTTTATAACTGCATTATCATGCGATAACATTTCCTTATATATCATGTAACAACGTTTCTTTACAATAAAATGCACCCCAAAGGCTTAAAGATTACATAACATTTTCTAACTATTAAGAAGTAAAGATAAGGAAGAATTTGTCAAAATAAATGGATTTTCTCTAATCACTTTTGCTGATTTTATATGTCAGCATTTTCTATTAATTAGAAAAGAAATCAATAAGTTTTGAAAAATCGATGACTACGTTGTGCCGTTTGAGAGGCTCAGATTTATAAAATGTGTTGTTAAGCAATAAAAATTCCCTCCTCACCTTTTCATTAAAGAAAAAAACCTCCACCTTATTAGGAACTGGGGATATATATTATGCTTTGCGAGGGGAGGCAGTTGTGTGTATATATATTTGAAATAATTCGAATTTCTTATAAACAATAAATCTGGATTTTTCACAAGAACCGCCAAATGGATAACTATAAGGTTACTCTTAAACGGATTTATACACATCAGGAATCTGGGTGATAAAAACAGTTTATAGAACGAATAGAAAAGACAATAGGTGTCGTGATAATACTTCTTTTTATCATATACCTGTG